CTCTTAACTCCAGATTTCTTCTATGGGCCCCACACTATCTATTCTTGGATATCTAATGGTCATCTCAAATTTAACCTGACCAGAATGAAGCTTTTTATTTCGTTTTCAATCTGTTCCACTTTACTCTTCTGCCTCTCGGTTTAAAGGCATCACCATTCTCTTCTTCATCCAATTCCTCAACAAGTTCTATAGCTCTGTCTTCAAAATATATCTTGAATCCCACCACCTCTCACTACCTCCATTACCACCTTAAGTTCAAGACACCGTAATAATTTCTTGTTTAGACTTCTAAGATAACCTTCTATCTGGTTTCCTTGCTTTCATTCTGCTCCCCTATCTCTACCCTTGAATTTATTCTTTGCAAAACAGCAGGAGTCACCTTAAAGCATAAACATATGACCTTTGATCGCTTCCATCATAGTTAGGATAAAATTCAAGCTCCTTATCATGGCCTTTAAGAGTCTACTTCTGGCCACTGCTTATTTGTCCCAGTACTTTCTCCTCTGTCACTCCACTGCAGCCACATGAGCTGTATTTAAATTTTAATATGCCGACTTGTTCTGGTCTCAAGGCCTTTACATTCTGTCGGGAACACTCATCCCCAAGATCTTCAGAGGGCTTGCTCTTTTACATCATTAATTTCCCAACTTGAATGTCAGCTCTGTAATAGATCACCCTGTTTCAAATAATTCCCCTTAACACTCTCTATTCTTTTAGATGGCTTCATTTTCCTTCATAGCACTTATAGCTACCTGAAGTTACTTTTTTTTTTCTTTTCTTTTCTTTTGCGGTACGCGGGCCTCTCACTGCTGTGGCCTCTCCCGTCGCGGAGCACAGGCCTCGGACACGCAGGCCCAGCGGCCATGGTTCACGGGCTCAGCCGCTCCACGACATGTGGGATCCTCCTGGACCAGGGCACAAACCTGCATCCCCTGCATTGGCAGGCAGACTCTCAACCACTGTGCCACCAGGGAAGTCCTGAAGTTACATTTTTAATTGTCTGTTTACTTTCTGTTTTTTTACTCCTTCAGTAGAAAGTAAGTTCATCCAATGAAGAGATGTCAGTCTACTCACTATGGTATCTCCTGCATCTAGAACAATACCTGGCACACAGTGAGTGCTGAGTAAGTGAGTCTGAAAGATTTCAGGAGACAGATCAGTTGTCTGACCAAATCAGAATTAGCTGCTTCGCTTGTCTTCTAATGCTGACCTGGGTCATATTAAACCAAAGAGATGTCTAAGAATGAAAGATTCTAGTATAAACGAATTCCTGTAATCTGCTCTATACCAGGGAGCTTGTTCCAATGCTTGTTAGTATTTGGATGCAGAAATTCTCAGTGATCCCTGCTAATCAGCTAATTTGCCTCTTTCTATCAATACTTACTAGCTATTAGTTTCTCCTGGCCAGTCTCCACCTAAATTTCCTTATAAGAGCTTGCTTTTAAATGAGGAATTTTCTTTGCTTGCTTTGCCATCTCCTTGCTTGGCTTTTCTTTCTCTAACAAGCACAACAGCATGCTGCTGCATCTTCAAAGAGTAAATTAATTCCGTCCGCAAAAGGGTCAAGTGCTAGAAAGTGCATAGCCATGCAGTTTGCATGGCAAGATACAGAAGATATGATGCTAATAAGATTCTAAGATGAGAACAGCAGACTGTCTCTGGGGATTCAGATGAAGGGGTCTGTAAATTTTAAAAGGAATAGTCTCCGAAAACTAATGATGTCTGCTTTCCAATTCATTAATAATGTGGAGTGGGGAGATGGGAGTGAGATCCAGGCCATGCTTTGAAATATCAAAATGTAACAAGGAAGAAAACAGTAAGAGCGATCTCAATGGGGTCATAAAGCTGGGAGAAGAAGGCAAACTGTAAGAAAATGTGATGGTGCTGGTTGGAGGGGAGGGAATCAATCCACCCCATGTGTGTATATTTATGTGCATATAGTACCTTTATCTATACACGAGTAGATAAAAAGTTCTTCTGCTACGAAAAAAAACACTGCAACATTGATAAGGCTTTTGCAATTTTCATATTTAAGGTGACTGAGAATATTTCAAGTATTGTAAAAACACGTCTAAGCTGTCTGCCTTTCCATATTTACAAATCCTGCCCTTCACCTCTTTGCATTGCATACAAGGAACTGAGTAACACAACCTCAACCTTGTTTGCAGTTAATAGTGGAAGAAAAAAACCCTCAGGCAAAGCCTAATGAACCAAGGGCAATTCTGAGCTCTTGTCTCTAATATCTGCCGAGACAGTGTCTTTCCAAGGGCTTCCTGGACATATTGTGTGACCTTGCTGCTTTACATCATTAAAATTTCCCATTACTGGAATGGTGTTTGCATGGAAGGGCCGTTGTGCAGATATTATGGCTGAGTTTCTCCCTGCTGCATTCGGAGTTTGTGCTAATAGAAAATGCTTCTCTGCTTGAACAGTTCCCTTGAGCTGGGGGGTGTACAGCAGCAGGAGAGTTTAGCTTTGGCTTTTATTTTGACAAAGCTATTACATTTTGCAGATTGAGGTTATGGTCTTTTCTCCTATCTCTGTATTTTATCTGCATGATATTTTCTGATATCCCTTTTAAACCCCCATTAGTTACGATTGAGGCTCTGAGGTGGCAGCCTGCCTTGGAGCCGTGATACCGTCAGCTTTTCTTACAAGCCACTAAATAGACTGACTGATTCAGTAGTGTTCAGTCATGTGTAACCTTTCCAAGGGGACTAGCTTCAGAAAGGAGACACATATGTGCCAGACAGACACTTGTGTGTTTGTGTGTACGTGTGTGTATGGTTACTGCAACACCAAGGGACCAACAGTCTTAAAAATGAAAGTGCATCCTTATTCTCCAGGGCCATAAGTTCCATCGGCCATGTCTTCCTTCTGAGCTTCCCTCTTCTGCAGGTGGCCGACTGCACCATGAAGCTGTGGAGGCTGACAGCATTGATGGCATTTCCAAACTCCAGGCCCCCCCTCAGCCTGCTTTACTACCCTCCTAAGAAGCTGCTGTTCTGGCTATTCTCTTCTAAACTTTGTTTCATCCATAGTCATAGTGTTACATGTTCATGCAACTCTAATCTTATAATTTTAGCAGAAAGTTTCACAATGAGTGATTTTGCCCAGAGGGAGTAGAAATATTTCACAGTACTGGTTATACAGCCATAGACTGTTTAGAACCAACTGAAAGGGTGAGATTCCTTGGCCAGCCCTCCCAAATCTCTAAGCAAACCATAGCCGATGGAGAGATTTTGAACCCAAAGTTAGTGCTCTAATTTCTACAGCAAGATAATGTGACCATTTCTTTCCTTATGGCTTTCCTATTTTAAGTAAGCACAGTGAATTCTTCCCAATAAATCCTTCTGAAACTGGGAGCGTAGCACAGCCACATGCCTTAAACACTTCACTTTGTCCACCTTCTCTTGAAAATGTGGGACGTTGTGGTCTAGAGTGGGGAGTGTCACGGAGAGGGGGTTATAGAGGTGAGGAATTTATTTCCCCAGGAAATCTCATTAGCCATGCAGTGCCTGTTTTTCATTTTCATTGAGGTTTCTGCTCTTCGGCTTTGTTTTCAGCTGAGTAACTGAGCCTGAAAGCCGTCTGGTGACTCACAAAAGGTCACACTGAGAGTCGGGGGCACAGACCGGAGCACACTGCCTACCTGTGATTGATGTGTATTAAAGCTGTCTTGAGCCACTCATAAACACAGCAAGAATCCTGTTCTCTTTTCATCAGTGCTCTTGACCAAGACTTGATTTACTGTTTTGAAATCAGCTGCTCCTTCAGTCCTCTACAATAGCTTCTTTAATAGCTTGTCATAACAGTTGATGACAATTTGGAAAAGCTCACATATTCAATATATTTTTTAAATTGACTTTGTGCTATTCTAGGTACCAAGGCTTTATAAACAGTCTAATTGTTCCCTGAGTGTTTGCTGACCAAAAGGAAAGGGTTGATGAATCAGACCCTCCTTTTCTATCTATGAAGGTATTGAGATGTGTATTCAATATCGTAGCAAATCACTGCTGAAAATTGGTTCCATGTCCCTGAGGCTACTTACCTCAAAAGGTGAAACAGCAGAAGTACCTGCTAGACAAAACCGACCAGCTCTGCTATTTTTCTTTCTTTCTTTTTTTTTTTTTTTTGAGTTTTCTTGATGATATTCTTTTAAAGTTTGTCCTGACAAGGGATTGAAGAGACAGTACAGTTTTTGTTCTAGTAAAGAATAATAATAATCATTTATACCCATTGAGTGTGTTTGTCAATTTGATACCTATGGCTGTATGATAATGAAGTTTAAGACTGATGTCAATCTGACTGAGAGATTAGTTGTATAATCTCAGAAGAAATGTGTGCACAGCATACATAAGATTTAACTGAACACAGCAACAATTTAAAACAAATCTCTATTTCTGATCAGTTGGTTACCTTTTGATGGCCTGGGAAAGTTGAACTGATCCCCGACCTCCCAACAGCCACTTCCACAGCGGTATCCAGGAATGCCTGCTGGGGTGATCTTCAGAATATCTAATGACCAATTTGGCAAGTACAGCGACCATTCAGAATGGATTACCAGTCATACAGAATAGATGCCGGTGCCGCTGTTCCAGAACATCCAACTGAACATCAGCTGTGCTCCTTATTCCTCTCCACGTGTACAGATTCTACCTATCCTTAAATTTCATTTCTTACTTGAAGGCTTTTATGTTCCATACAGTTCTATTTCTTGATTCTGAATTCCTACAATATTACAGCCTGTGCGTCCCAAATGTCCCTATACCATGTGCTACATTCTATTGTTAGTCTATTTTGTACTTCCCCACAGCACAGTGTTGTGCACATACATTTCAAAAATATTTTTGAATATAGAATATTCTGATGAAAATACCAGATGAAAATATCAGAATATTCTGATGAGATGATGTTTGAAAGTGCTACATTTGATATAGAACTAATTTGAATTTCCTTTGTGGACTTGAACTTGGTATCCAAGTGTCCCGTTTTCTTTTAGAGGGGCCACCTGAAAAACATTTCAGCAAAGAACTGTAACATCAAGACACTGTCACCAGTGCCTTTTCCACTGTTTTATTTTCTTATGTACTCTACCCATTTTCCAGATGTTGAGACACTTTGCTCCATTATGTTGAATTTGGAGTAGAATTGTGGGCACAACTGCTGTAGCAATGGAAGAGTTTAGTTTTCACCAGAACCTATGGAGGTTTGTACACAGAAAAGCTGAATTTATATAAATTAGGTCATAGTTTCAGATTTGAGCAGAATATGTCATTCCTCTAAAGAACAGAAAAAATTACATATTCAGATAAATTTATAGGAAGTCCCCAAGTATTTGGCTTTTTGTTGAAAGTTTAGTTTGATTATTTGGAACTAGGAACATTTTTTCCCCACATAAATGATATCAAGAGAGTCAAGGTTTCAAGCTAGCCCTACAGTGAATCATTATTAAACCCTCCAGCAAAGAAGGGGGCCTGAATTCTGCCAAGAGGGTTTTGGAAAGAAAGGTGGAGATGGATTATCTGAGAAAGACTGTGAGGGTAGCACCTCCGAGGCATTGGGTATGTCCCCAGGTGATGGCTAATGTATTTCTTTTGTAAAACTAGAGTAGGATGTAAGGGCTCAAAAGCAAATGTGAGTAAGTGGAAAATTACGGGTTGCTTCCTGAAAGCAACAGGATAAGCCATGCAGGGCAGTAAAGTGAACATCAGAACAGAATTAGGAGAACTAGTTCTACTCCTAGCTCTGCTACAACTTCTCTGGTTGACCTTCAATGTATCACTGCCCCTCTCTGGGCCTGTTTCCTCATCTACAAAATGAAGGGCTTCTTGATACAAGGCTTCTTTCAGCTAGCACAAACCATGGCAGTCATCTTTCCTGTAATGTCATCTCTACCCAAATCCTTGTTCTGTCCTCTTCATGTGCTTCTGTATCTTCTTGTATTTATTTCATTCTGCTGAATCCAGCCAGTCCTTCCACTTAATGCACTTCCTCTCACATTCCTTTCCCCACAGGCTAACCATAATAAAATAGACAGGGGAGAAAAACACCTCCTGGTTATCATAGACCATATTCTATTTATTATAAATATGTCCATGCTTATTCTCTCTCTTAATCTGAAAACTCCTTGGGAACAAAGAATATACCTTCTTTTGTTTATTTCTGTAATATATGTTAAAGCACCTGATGGATGTAGAAAATAAGACAATGATGTTGACATGTTGATGTTGACAGTTTTTTTTTAAAGTATATTTGCAAAGAAAAATGAACAGTGATTCCCTGCTAAAATCATTTAAACCAATGAGGCACTTGGGAAAAACAAGTGGGATTTCAGAGGGGAAAAAGAAAAAAATAAGCTAGTTGGCTTGTTCACATTTGAGGTCTGCATGGCATTCTCCCAGATGAAAAACCTGGCTTACCAAGTGAAACACATCAAGTGGAATTTTGATTCACTTCCAAAATGTTGTATTTGGGGATTACCAAGGGACATGAGAAAACTTTTTGGGGGGTGGAGGGGTAGTGGAAATATTTGATACCTTGATTCTGGTAGCAGCTATGCAACTGTATAAATTTATAGAACTGTACAACTTAAAAGGGTGAATTTTAGTGAATGTAAGCTATGCTTTAATAAACCTGACATAAAATTAAAAGATTATAAAAGATACATATATCTATGCTAGAAGAAAGGTAACCAAGTAAAGTGATTTGCAGACTTATTTTTTCACTTATTTTAAACTCACAAGAGCAAACTACAAGAAAAGATAAGATATTATATTTTAAAAATTAAACAAATTGACTAGGAAAGAAGTAGTATCCCTTTTTCTATTATTTTAATATTTCTGAAAGCATAACAGAATATTGCTACTTGTGCATACACTTGTCATTAACTCTGTGCTAGTTCTAGTGGATACAGTTGGTACAAACCAGTGCTAATTGCTTTTATGACACTGCTAATTAAAGCCACCTGCAACTATTTGGTTTGAGTTATATGATTTCACAGTGAATTGAGAAGCCACTGAGTTTTATGCCAGTGTGTATGTGTGATTATCCTCCCTTACGGAAATATAGATAGCATTATTGATTCAAGTTGGCTGCTTAGACTGTCAATGGTTACTTGAGTCTGATTGTTGTAGCTCAGGTTTTGGTACTTTTGTCTGATAAGAATGCTGGTGGCATCATCCAATATTTAGATGAATATTTTCAAAGGTCAATTTTTTTTCATATAGGTCCCTTAAGGATTATAGAACAACTTCCAAGCTTGCGCTTTCATGAGTAACTGATATTCTTAACTTCTCTGTCATTGTATGTGTGAAAGGTTGCAAGTAATGGCTAATCTATTTTCCAGATCTGTTCTTTTCTTACATCATAATAGAGTTATAGCAAGTGATGTGGCTAGTCACATTTCCCAGCCTCCCTCGCAGTTAGTATGATTAAATGAGTAAGTTCTCTCCAATGGTATGTGAGTGGGCATGATGCATACCACTTCTAGGGTGGGGCTTTTAAGAAACCAGGTGTGCCTTCTCTGTGCTCTCTTTTTCCTTCTACTAGTTGGAAAGAAAGAGTTGGTGTGCATTTCTCCATTTTAGTGAGCAGTGGGAAAAAATCTTTCCCAATGTGCCTGTAGAAGACTTCCTCTTACATCTGGAGGACATGGCCATACCTAGCTCCAAGACTATCTGGGAAATTGGGTATCTAGCTATTTTAGCCTCTACAGTTGGAAGTAGAAAGGATAAGGGGGTTAGGAATGGGTAGCCAATAAACAATGCCTGAAATAATGACCTAAGCACACAATACAATAAATTAGAAGAAGAAAAAAAAACAATTTGGATGGAGAAAATTAAAAAGTTAAAAAGCAGAAAATAATAATGTAAGTAAAAAGACTGAAAGGACTACTTAATAAAACCATTTCCTGGTTCTTTAAAAGTCCAACGTAATTGTACAATCTCTGGCAATTCTGATCAAGACAAAATAGAGGAGACTAAAATAAACCACAGAAGACAGGTAAGATAAATATAGACACAGAAAAAAATTTCAAGTGTGAAAGAAAGGTAGGTTTGAATTAATGCTAACATATTTGAAATCTAAATTAAAAGGTTGATTTTTCTAGAAAAAAATATATAACAAAAATTGGCTCAACAAAAGATAGAATAAGGTCATAGAAGAAATTTTAAAAGTAGTCAAAGATATATCACTTAAAAAAAACCCAGATCAAATGGTATTATGGGTAAATTATATTAAAATTTAAACAGATAATTATTAGGTTAAAAAAATTTTTCCAGAATATAAAAAGATGAAGAGCTTCCCCACTAACTCTATATGGTTAGCATAATCTTGATTATAAATCCATACAAATAACATTAAATAATAACAGAATAAGCCAGTTTAACTATGAACATATAAATCCTAAATAATGAAAGTCTACACTGCTTTCAAAGAAAATAATATATTTCTAACAGATATAAGATTCATGTTTTTGAATCTTATATCTTATAACATAATTAAAATCTATGTCTGGAATGCAAGGATAGTTTAACATTAAGAAACATTAATTTAATACATTACATTATCAAATTAAAGTAGAAAATCACATAATCATATTAAAAGATGCCAAAGAACAGTTTAACACCTATTCCTAATTAAAAAGCAGTTTTAAAAATCCTTTGGCAAGCTGAGAAAGATAAAAACAAATACCTTAATCCAATAAAGGTATATATCAGAAATCTGTAATAAACATTATAAAACATTATAATTGAAATATTTGGCAGAGATGGCTAGCTGTACCCTACTACCAGTTCCCCTCATCTTCCTTAGTAATGTAACCCAGATTTTTAGCCAGGGTTGTGGTTTTCTGGAATAAAAACCACATTTCTCAATTTCCCTGGCTACTAGGTGTAGCCATGTGACTGGATTAGCTAAGTTTGACCAATGGATATAAATAAAATACCATGAGCAATTGTCCTTGTCAACAAGGATGAATTTCAAAAGCCCACAGTATCAAGTTACAAAAGGCTACACATGTTTTGATACCAACTATGTAAATGTTAAAAACACACCAGATAATAAATATAACTTATAGCTGCACATTAAAATCATAAAAATATTTTAAATGTTCTTAAGGGTGAAACACACCAACATCAGAGTGAATGGGAAGGGAAAGGGTTGGTGCTTTAGCTGTGTTTGTAATATTTTATTTCCTTAAAATTAATAAGAACAAAAGCAAAAAAGTTCTGAACCAAATATGGCAAACAAATAGCTATTAAACTTGGGTCATATTCAATGACTCAGCTATTAAATTAAGGTTATATTATTTTATGTGCTTTTCTATGTGCATAATTTTAAAACTTTAGTTGTATAAAGCAAAGACTTGAAACAAAAGGAGGTCAAAATAAAGCAGCAGGGGTGAATATGGAAAGAAGAAGCCCCATTGCTTTGTTCTCAGATTCCAGAGTGATTGAACATATATGAGCCTCAGGGCTTGGCCTAATTGCCTCCTCCCTGAGTAAATAAATGTCCCAAAGCAAAAGCTAAAGGTAGTCTCTTTGATTTGTCATATCCCAGAGATTGTTCTGATGAGGGAATCAATTCAGATGCTCTATTGCTAGCAATAAATTATTAAATGACTACAATCAGTGTAAAGCTACCATTATACCTCTATTTACTTCAGGATTTGGTTTTTTTTCTGAATTTATCTAATAATATTAAATCAAGATATTAGAAAATAAAATGTAATACACTCCTTCATAACCAGAAACACAAAGGAAAAAAAGCCTAAGAATAAACTTAACAAGAAATATGCAAGATCTATGTGGAACAAAACTGTAAAACTGTACTGAAAATCATGAAAGGAAATCTAAACAAATGGAAAGATCTGTTCTCTAAATGAGAACACTCAATAATTTACCAAGTTAATCTATACATTAATCTATACATTTAAATTAAATCCCAATAAAATGGACCTTGCTAAGCTAATTCTCAGATTCATCTGAAATAGAATCTCCAGGAATAGTTTTCAAAAGACAATGAAGATAAGTGATCCATATCAAGTATCTAAATACACTACAAAGCTTTAA